TGAGCTAGTGCTATTCGGTGTGGCGTACACATGGCAATCACATTATAATCATCAGTACTGGGTCAAATAAATTAAAGAGAACTGAATTTGAACCCGGGCCATAGGCTACCCCCTCTCTTTCTCTCTCCCTCTCTCTCCCTCTTCGTCGCCTTACTTTTCCCTCTCTTACCTCCCTGTGCATTTGAATGCCTCGATAATACAAAAAATAAACAATAAGATTCTTCCTCTTCCCCTCCTTCTTTCTAGTACATGTAGTAGGAGTAGTACTAGAAGCAGTATCACAATAATAATGAAAACAATGATTATTATGGTTGGTGGTGTTACTAATGTTATTTTTTGTAATTATTATGTTTGTTATTGTGATTATTATCCTTATCATGATTATTATCGTTAATATAAATTATTATTGTAATTATTATAATCATTATTATTGTTATCATTATGATGAATATGAACATGATGATTTTGATGACGATTAGTATAAGTATATAATTGTTATCATATCATTATTATCATCTGTATTATCATCATAATCTACAATGGCAGTAGTGTAGTATAGTACATGAAGAAGTAGACCTAATAGTAGAGGTATCATTCTGATCATTATTATTCTGATTATCTTTTGCAATACGTCTAGACGATAAACTCATGACAATTGACAATTGTCATGAATCATTGTCTTTAAGCTTACCATTAAATGCATCTGTTTCAAATTTTGCTCAGGTTTTTGGTACTGGATGATTTAAATTGTAAAAATAACTTGTGTCCTATTCATTCTATTCTTATTCATTTGCATTATGTTTTAGTCATTCAAGTTCTAATGTTTCTGACTGTTTTTAAGACAATATCTTTTGTGTCGATCATAGTTCTATGTAGCTTGATATCTCACTGTAATTTTGAGAGAAAAGCAATGCAAGCAATGATTTCTGAATTGTAGCGACAATCGCGTTCGCCTTTGCTGTTCTTCAATAATATTTGACAAGCAGTATTAATTAATTTTTCAAGGACTCATGATACATTCGTTTAACAGTTGATTACCCTCGGTTGATTCTTTTGTTCGGATTATTTGGCGGGGAAAATGTATTATTGAAAATGTATTAGTAAATGTATTATTATTCTTATTTGTTCATCGTCTCTACGATGCTCTTTGAATCAAAAACAGCTTTTAGTGTTTGGCTTCCTGAAAGAAATTTCAATTGTTGTTAAGAATATTTTGGTTGCACTCTGTAGATTATGATGATGTGTTTGATCTTTTTTTCAATACAAGATCAAACACATGATGAAAATCTACTGGCTGCATGCCAATAAGTTCTTGACAACATTAACAAAATGTGAGCTAGTGCTATTCGGTGTGGCGTACACATGGCAATCACATGGTGATCATCAGTACTGGGTCAAATAAATTAAAGAGAACTGAATTTGAACCCGGGCCATAGGCTACCCCCTCTCTTTCTCTCTCCCTCTCTCTCCCTCTTCGTCGCCTTACTTTTCCCTCTCTTACCTCCCTGTGCATTTGTATGCCTCGATAATACAAAAAATAAACAATAAGATTCTTTCTCTTCCCCTCCTTCTTCCTAGTACATGTAGTAGGAGTAGTACTAGAAGCAGTATCACAATAATAATGACAACAATTATTATTATCGTTGGTGGTGTTACTAATGTTATTTTTGTAATTATCAGGTGGGCTGTATATCGTACAGACCACCTTATAATTTCGTTAGAATTGCCTTTGTTTATGTATTTATTTATTATCAGGTGGGCTGTATATCGTACAGACCACCTTATAATTTCGTTAGATTTGCCTTTATTATCAGGTTGGCTGTATCTTATACAGACCACCTTATAATTTTGTTAAATTCGCCTTTATTATTCTTTATTGTCAGGTGGGCTGTATATCGTACAGACCACCTTATAATTTCGTTAGAATTACCTTTATTTATTTATCAGGTTGGCTGTATATCGTACAGACCACCTTATAATTTCGTTAGAATTGCCTTTATTTATTTATCAGGTGGGCTGTATCTAATACAGACCACCTTATGATTTTGTTAAAATTGCCTTTATTATTAAGTGGGCTGTATCTAATACAAACCCCCTCATAATTTTGTTAAAATTGCCTTTATTATCAGATGGGCTGTATATCGTACAGACCACCTTATAATTTCGTTAGAATTGCCTTTATTATTTATTTTACTTATTTCAAACCACTTTTTTGTAAGCACGATTACAAAACACAATAATGTTTTCAACTATGACCTTCACTGATGACGTCATCTAGGCGCCATTTTGTAATTTTTTCTGAAAATCAACTCATGATCATATCTTCATAACCAAAAGCCATTTTTAATTCATATTTATCATGATTAAGGTCAATATTCGTCCGGTCAATTTCAGGTCAAAAAACGTGCGCGTGCGCAAAATAGTCTCAAAATAATTTTACATACGTTTTAGGCCATTTTAAGCTTTTTATAAAAAATCTCGCACACGCGCATGCGCGCGCGTTTTCGCGCGTTCTGGCATTTTGCAACAAAGAATCGCCAATTTTTCTTTGTCATCATATTTGGCACATTTTCCCAAGCATTTTGATACCTTGTTAACATATTTCTGACCATTAATAACGGAGTGAGCGTCCGTTTAAGATACACGTCCGTGCGTGCGAGCTCTTGTAATACATAGCATATATGGGCAAAAACATGCCTATACAAAATCCATTGTAGCTCTTTAGGATGTAAGGTTACCCCAAATTTTGTTTCATATTTCGTAGAGTATGAATTGGAAATATGATTTCTTGTCTCATTTGACCCTCAATTAACTCATGACGTCATCATAATGGCCTCCGAACTCAAAATTCCAATTTGCATATTATGACATCAGCATATTTTTGGAAAATAGATTGTATCTCTGTAAATATTGATTGATTTTCTTCCAACTTTAAAAAAAAATTCTAGCTGAGATAATTCACTACAAATGCATTGAACATGATTTTTCATTTCGACAAAAGCATCATGGCGTATTTTTGCGATTAAAGGAGGAATATCAATTTTTCACTTTTTGCGTGTATTCTCTATGGGACATGACTTTTTTTCAAAACTGGATTCTACATTCCTGTCTTTCGCGAGCAATATCTCTGTCGTTTTAGCTTCGTTTACGCTGAAATTCAAGTATGTTGTAGCTGAGACAATAAGCAATCTTAAATTTGCCCTTTATTTTGTCTCAAATTTTAAATAGATCAGCCCACCTATACTTGTTCAAAACAAGTATTACAAATCTAGTTATTATTATTGCCATCAACATTCATTCATTTCATTTCATCTACATTATTTCATGAAATGCATTCAGAAAATGAAGAAAAAAAAAGAAACAAAAATAACCCGTGAAAAAAAAATATTGTCGGCGAAGCATTTGTATTTTATGGGACACTTTTTGGGTGGAACAATTGTCGGCGGAGCAAATGTCACCGGAGCAAGTGTCGCTTCAGGCGGAGCAAATGTCGGCGGAGCAACTGTTGGCGGAGCAAATGTAACCGGACAATTGTCGGCGGAGCAATTGTCGGCGGAGCAATTGTCGGCGGAGCAATTGTCGGCGGAGCAATTGTCGGCGGAGCAAATGTCGCGGAGCAAATGTCGCGGAGCAATTGTCGCGTTTTGCGGAGTAAATGTCGGCGGAGCAATCGTCGGCGGAACATGTGTCGGGTTACCCTGGAATCATCAAAGTGATAAGAAATTAGGCCCAGTCTTCGTAAAGTTACAAGCACTGTACACAGAAAGATGTATATGGGACTATATGCACACGTGCGCGACACGTGCGTTTATCTCTCACAGACCATGTAGATAAACTAATTGACCAAATATATCAATTAGTAGGCGGTTTCCCGGCAAAATTTTTATCATCATGTATTAGTCAAAACATATTCTTTCACATGATTGGTATTTAGAGCTTCCATTTCAATTTTGGAATTGGGGCGTTTCCAATACTGGTCTTTACCTTAATAAGTGAAACCAACTTGATATCAGGGTGGACTTATCATAAATCATGACATCAAATTGTAGGTATATTAGGCTTAGCTGCGGTGATCTACTTGACATTGTATTCAGGGCTAAGACCAGGATGCTGAGAGAGGGGAGGTCAGGGTACATGCAGGAGAGAAAGATAAGTGGAAAAGGGAAGGGAAAAGAAGAAGGGGAGGGTAGAGGAGGAAAAGGGGGAGAAGGAGAGGAAGAGAAGGAGGGGAGGAAGAGAAAGAGGAGGGGAGGAGGGGAGAGGGAAGGGGAGGATGAGAGGGAAGGGGAGGACGGGAGGAGGAGGGGAAGAGGAGGAGGGGGAAGAGGAAGAGGGGGAAGAGGAGGGGGAAGAGGAGGAGGGGAGAGGAGGGGGAGAGGGGGAAGGGGAGGAGGAAGGGGGAGGAGGAAGGGGGAGGAGGAAGGGGAAGGAGGAAGGGGAAGGGGGAGGAGGAGGGGGAGGAGGAAGGGGAGGAAGGGGAGGAGGAGAAGGAGGAGGGAAAGAGGAGGAGTTGGAGGTGGAGGAGGAGGAAGGGGGAGAAGGAAAAGGAGGAGGAAGAGGGAGGAGGAAGGGGAGGAAGGGGAGGAGGAAGGGGGGAGGAGGAAGGAATGGGAGGGGGAGAGGAAGTGGGAGAAGGGAGAGAAGGGAGAGGAGGGGGAGGAGGGGGAGGGGAGGAGGGGAAGAGGAGGAGTAGGAGTTGGAGGTGGAGGAGGAGGAAGGGGGAGAAGGAAGGGGAGAAGGAAAAGGAGAAGGAAGAGGAGGAAGGGGGAGGAGGAGGAGGAGGAGAAGGGGGAGGATGGGGGAGGAGGAAGGGGGAGGAGGAAGGGGAGGAGGAAGGGGAGGAGGGAGGGGGAGAGGAAGTGGGAGAAGGGGGAGGAGGGGGAGGGGGGAGGGGATACGGGGAGGGGAGAGGAGGAAGAGGGAGAGGACGAGGGGGGAGGTGGATGGGAGGGGAGGATATTGGGGAGCAGGGTTTAGGGGTGTCGACATAGTTTACTTACCGTAAGTTGCACAGTATTTGAGACATCTTGGATTTGCCTCCAGGCAGGAAGCAATATCTTCTTCTGAGCTGCCAAGTCCTCTTGCATTTGAGCAAGTATCTGAAAACAATATAACAATGCCCATACACAGGTCATGTCTCTTAATTTTGCCTTTAACTTTTAGTTTCATTGTCTCATATAAAGAAAATAATGATTGTGGTATTACATGTATATATTGGAAGTTCTATTTGAACCTGACATCATAAAGAAGTTTCAGTTCCTTGAATCATTAACAAAAAGTCAACAAGATCTACAGCTCTACAGAAAAATGCATTTACAGAGTATGACAGGACTGCTATATCACGTTGTAATGTCCATACTACTATTGCATCCATGCCAAAGAAAAAAGAATTGGAATTGTGAAAATAAGGAAAGGAGAAGGAGAAGGAAAACGAGAGGGAAGACATGAATATAAAGAAGATAAAAAAGAAAAATAGAAAGAAAACAAAAAGATGAAGAACGAAGAGAAGAATAGGGGTGCGTCTTATACACAGGTGCGTCTTATACACTGAGATTTATGGTATTCTTCCTTTAAATGGACAACACAACACAGGATGCACCCTTTGAACACAGGAAGAGCTCACTTTGTGGGGAATCCCAAATCTCCATGAAACAATGCCGATTTGAATTAGGTATATCCTCTGATCCCTGCTGTGCATACTATGATACGCGTAGCACTATACCACTGTTTTAACATACTTTAACTTTAATAATACATTACACACATAGATTTCAGTGACATTGTTTCTACAGGTATACATGTGAACAAACTATTTTTTTCTTCATTTAACCCTTACTGTACTGGGCTATTTTGAGCACCTCGTGACTGGGGGGGGGGGGGGGGGGCTGTGAGGCCCCCCCCCCCTATGATCTCGGCCGTCGAAAGTCTGATGAACACAAAAATTTGCATGTTAGTAGATATTTACATAAGTAACAAGATGGTATAATTAGTTTTTTTCCTAATATGCAAATTTTTGTCGTTATAGCCTAATTAATTATGCAAAATGCTAATTTTATGTATTTTACAGAAAACTCTACAAGTCTGTAGACTTATGAAGAATGTTGAAAATGTATTGAATAAATGTTTCCTTCATCTCAAATTCATGAGGTTTCATTATTTTTATGATATTTGAAAATGCAAAGGTTAATTTGCATAAATTATGAATACGCATTCATGAATATCAAATCTGGAAATATACAAGGAACTAGAATTGTCAGACTCCACTTTTTGAATGTTAATTGAAACTCATCATTCATATGATACTTTTTATCTAACACAAAATAAATATTTTGATGTAATTAATAATGATAATTTATGCAAATTTGATGCGATTTTCAAGTATTTATTTTCTTTTGTATTTTATTGTTTTTTATTTCTTATTATATCTATTGTTTTATTTCTAATGTATTCTTTTGTTCTGGAATACATCAAGTTACTTTGAGAAACATATAAAAGCAATTTGATATCAATTCATATCTCCCACTTAGGAAGAAATACATCTAAACCTGTATTCACATTTCTGCTTGTACATGAATATATGCAATTATAGCATATTTTTGATGACATGCGCATACCATTTGTTATGTAACACTTACAGGTATATCCGATTTCGACGGAAATGGTATCAAAATGTGCGTAAGACTTGAGAGAAAAAAGTCTTGAAACAACAATTCAAAATTCCAAGCGGTTGCGGTGCAATCTCCGAAAATGTCGAGGGGGGCCTCCCAGGCCCCCCCCCCCCCCCCAAGTACAGTAAGGCTTGACTTGGTTAAGTATTTATCAATCATATGCGCAAAAGAGAGCTAAGCTTTTCCACCAAGTTTTTATGAGTTTGTTAATAGTTTGCTAGTCAAAATATTACTTCCCCCCACCCCTCTGCCCCGCTCACAATCTAAATACAGGGGTGGAGACGGTCTTCCTCGAAATGGACTCAAGCTACCAGAACTCAAAATTTGCTTCAATTGAAAGAAAGAAAAGGGTTATTACACTTACCTCTCTGTTGCTTGAAGCAACCTGGCTCACGAGCTGACAATCATGTCCTTTATGAGGTCCATACACCTGGCAGTATATGCAGATTACCATGCTATCTGTTAAACAGTACACCTTCTTGGGCTCATTGTCATGTTCATTGCATAACAGCATCTATGACAAAAAGAATAATAATAATGATTAATAGTAATAATAGTAATAATAATATTAATAAAGATGATGATAATAATGATGATCATGATGATGGTAATAATAATAATAATAATAATAACAACAAGTCAACGCAAAGCGTAGCATCCCCTCACAGGGTACAAATGGCCTATATACGTCAGAACGAGTTACCTCCATTGGACTATACTATTATATTACTAGGCAAGGAAGTTCACATTTTCACATATATAATTACCGGTAGGTGTTTTTGCATATTTAATGAGCTATGACCTTTCACCTTTGACCTACATACTCAGAAATCGAACTTAGGCTGTATATGTAGTTTGATACCATGTACCTTCATATTAAATTTCATTAAAATTCGTCAAACATTACTCAAGTTATGAATGGAAACCAGATTCGCATATTTAATGAGCTATGACCTTTGACCTACATACTCTGAAATTGAACTTAAAGATAAACTTGAGTTCCCACAATGAATTCTCACAGAATCTAACGAAACTTACACTGAATGTTCAAGATTACAAATAAATGTCATGTGCCAAACAATTTTGGAAGAAAATGTATACTGGCTGAGTAATGAGCATAGAAAGATAAGGAAATCAGGGTAGTACTAGCCCCGACACCATGTGTGTTGTCCCATATACATCTTTCTGTGTAAGTGATTGTTACTTTACCAAGACTCTGCCAAATTTATGATGATTATGATGACTCCATAACCTTGCATTACACACCATTACTTACATGCTATATGATCAACTTTTCTGATCCATTCCACACCTTTTCTTTCACAATGCAATCGCATTACCAGAACTCAAGTTTATCTTTAAGCTGTGTTTTTGTACCATGAACCTTCATATCAAATTTCATTAAAATCCGTCAAACAATACTAAAGTTATGGATCGGAAACCAGATTCTCATATATTTAATGAGCTATGACCTTTGACCTTTGACCTACGTACTCCAAAATTGAACTTAGCCTGTATTTGATATCATGTACCTTCATATCAAATTTCAATCCGTCAAGCATTACTAAAGTTATCGATCGGAAACCAGATGTGTATTTTTTCGCATATTTAATGAGCTATGACGTTTGACCTTTGACCTACGTATCTCAAAATCGAACTTAGCCTGTATTTTGATATCATTTACCTTCATATTAAATGTCATTAGTCACGGAAGGACGCACGCACGCACGGAAGGACGGACGGCAGCGTTACTATATCCTCTCCGACTTCGTCGGCGACTCAGCGAGGGGATAATTCGTCGGCGAGGGGATAATAATGATGATGATAATGATAATAATAACAACAACAATAACAACTGCATGTAGTTCCTCATTCCTTGCCAAAAGACGTTACTGCTGGGCTGGGATTAAATTAAAAAGCATATGAGTATTTACACATAATAATCAGACATACCGGTATACATGTGAGAGAGGGAAATGGGATAGAGAGAGAAAGAGAGAGAGAGATGGAATGGGGATGAGAGAGGGAAAGAGAGGATCCAAAGTTTGTTTCATATGAGTAGTAACTGACCTGATTTGTGGCTAAAGATGAGCCACGTAGCACTTCTTCTAAACCTTCCAATATGTCAAGGACAGCAAAGTTTTTGGCAAGCTTCTGAACATTGTTGACAAGTCCTGGAATTGATGTATCTGTTTTGCAAGTCGGGCAACAGATTTTACCTCGTGAGAATTTTCCAACTAGCTTACTTAAACATACTGAAATTAAATTAGAAAAATAAAGAAATACATTGAATATGTTGATGTGTTTGAAATGGAGATGCATGTAACTGCTCTTACATTCCTTTTGAGAAATAAAGGCTACTTTAATACCTAATTCTTTCCAAATACCAAAGACAATTGAAAATAGAACTACAAGTGTAGTAAAATTAAATTCCCTTTAAAAAAACATAACAAAATGATTATAGTACACAACGTATCCAACATTATAAAAGAAACTTGAATGTACAGAAAGAGAACCCCCCCCCCCCCCCCCCCCCCTTGAGGGAGAGAGAGGAAAGGGGTTCTTTATGAAAGAGGATATACTGGATGTGTAATTGAAGATGGATAGAGAGATGGAAGAGAGAATGTTGAGAGAGAAAGAGAAGGATGTAGAATGTGGGAGAATAAGAAAAGAGGAAGAAAGGATTCAAATTAGAAATTGAAAACAGATTTTTATCTGTTCCTTACATATTTATTGAATTTATATTTTTCACCCTTGATTAGTTTCTTCACAAATGAATAAGAAATGTGGTTATGGTACACAGATTCTTCAAGTTGATAGAGTACATACCTGTACAGTAGGTATGGCCACAGGACAGTATTCGAGGAACGTGTTCACCATCTCGTGCGAAGGAATGGTAACAAACATTACACTGTCGCCCTCGTTGGTCATCCAAGGACAGGGAATCCATTGAATGATGCGTTACAGGATCATATTCACAGATCTAATTACTGTAAATGTCAAGAAATACAAGGACACATTTAAAATATTGGGTGTCACAATAACATTATATAGTCTGTTTCTACTTTAGAAGGGCATCAACTCTTTGTACAAGAATTGAACTTAATGCACTTCTAGACCTGGCTCTATAAGCAGAGGACACAATACATGTATGATTAACAATTATATTTTTGTATAACACACATTTTACACACACCCCAGCATGCGTATCCCAGGCTTTGAATCCAATACGTTCATATGTGAAAGGTACATCGATGGTCGTCAGTTTCCATGTGCAGTAGGTCAAAATTCACAGACACCAGACTTGGTGGAAACACCATTAATGGATGTACAATTCTTGCACACAGCAAACCCGTAGTCCTATGAAATTGGATGGACCCTCGACTGCGGGCAGTCGAAAATGATGCCTCCGCCATAGAGCGATTCTACAAACCAAAACAGAAGCAATTGAAGTTTGATTGTAATCAATTAACACGTTCTCAGAATATTGTGATTTCAAGATATTTTTCATATACATGTACAATGTACATTTACATGTGCCCTTTGATCTTTGATCTCATGACCCTATAAAAATCTAATCAGTTCATTGGCTCTGCGAGATACATATATATATATATATATATGTCTTGAGTTTGATAGTAATCTGGACATCATTTCTGATGAGAATGCGTTCACAAGTTTTTTTTCTTCATACATGAGCCCCATGACCTTTGACCTTATGACCCCAAAATCTACTCAGTTCACTCTCTCTGCAAGATTCAGACCCGATGGTAATCTGTTGATCGGTTTTAATGAAAATGTGATAACAAGCTATTTTTGCATACATGAGCCCTGTGACCTTTGACCCCAAAATCTAATCAGGTCATTGACTCGACAAGATACATGACCTGAGTTTGATGGTAATCTGTCCATCAGTTCTTATGATAATGTGATCACAAGCTATTTGTGCATACATGAGCCCTGTGACCTTTGACCTCGTGATCCCAAAATCTAATCAGTTCATTGACTCTGCAAGATACATACATGACCTAAGTTTGGCAGGAATCCATCAATGGTTCTTGAGATACCGTGATCATGAGCTATTTTTGCATACATAATGAACCCTGTGACCTTTGACCTTGTGACCCTAAAATCTTATCAGTTTATTGGCTCTGCAAGATACATATATGACCCAAGTTTGGCAGGAATCCATCAATCAGTTCTTGAGATAATGCGATCACGAAAACATAATGCCTCCAGCTACTTCGTGACGGAGGCATAAAAATACAGATAGGTAAAAAAAAGAAAATATGTAGAATACATCTCAGCCATATTGAACACTCCTTTATTCAATGTACATGTAAATAAAAATACAACATATTTTTGAACTATTTCCCTCTCTCCAAAGTCCAATGTAAAGAAATATTTATGGAAATTATATCCTTCAGTTGCATAACAGCTAATTGGTAGACGGGCACTTCACTATATATGCCATGCAAAGAGTTTGGGCTTCGTTCAGTCAACTTCTCAGTTTTAGAAATAAAGCACATAAAATTTTAGTCATGAAATAATTTGTGCGATTTCAGAGCTTTTGGAACAATTGATCAAATATATTTTCCGTCTTTAAGTGAATGTGTAGAAAAATCATAGCTGGATCGAGAGTTTTGTGTCCTTTTTTTGCCAAGCAGCCATAAACTGTTTTCACACTGGCAAAAGGTGGGGTTAAAGGGGGGGGGGGGTCTTAGCCCCACTTATAGCCCGGGGTCAAGCCTATTCCACTTTCTGTTCAGACTCGTATTTACCAAAGTGGGCTAGCCCACCTATAGTACAGGGTTAACTATAACCCTGCAAAATAGCAGGGCTAACAGAGCTACTAAGTGTCACGCATTAGGCGTGACATCACGCATTTCGAGGTCTGGAAATGCTCTCAAACACGACGCGCGCGCTAGATTTCGAAAAAAACGCTATACCTTATACCTGTGTTATACCCTCGCGCGCGCATTTGCTCGCCGAATCATGCAAATGTCACGCATTGCTGATCTTTGAACTTGGCATCTCTGGGCTAACCCCGCAATTGTGGTGTTAACTCCTGCTAACCCCGCAATTGTGGTGCCAAGCAAATGAATGAGAACAGAAACGAAAAATAATCCGGTACTACGCAATGGAGCGTATCGCAGCTGGCCAGATGCAAAGTAAGGAGCCCACTGTCCAAACATTCAGGATACCCGGGGCTAACGAATTGCAGTGAGAACAGCGTGGATTTTCTTATTCCTGGATAGGTGCTAATACGGTACTAAAAACAGCGTATGTGAAAAGCCAAACAAAATAGTCCGGGGTTAAGGATAGTACGGGGCTAAGCAAAGTACGGGGTTAAGCAAAACCAGTGTGAAAAGAGTATAAGTCTACCAAATAAATGACATGTCATGGCGCTGCCCATCAACTAAAAAGTTATGACAGAGATATCTCAGTGTTAGGTGTCATAACTACTTAGTCAGCCCTTGATGTTGGCAAAGAGGGAGTTGTGAAACACAAGTTGTGGACGAGTGGCTTACTATTAAATGCTGATTTAGTCGACTAGTTAGACTTATGACGGTTTAGCAAAATGGGTCCCTGGTTGCCAAGTCAGGTAAGGCCAACAAAAAAAAGTTTTACATCCGGGTTTTTAAAAAAAGGAGGAAGCAGGGCTTTTTATTTCTTATTTTTTATTTTTCAAGATGGCAGCCATAAGAGATTTCCAGAAATCCCTAGTGTGTTCGCTTTAAATAAAATGTTACAAATACAAGAGACAATGATAGCCACACAAGAACTGAACATTTACATTGTTTTGATAGTGTTAGCACCATGTTTTACACTTTTACGCTTTTACACTTTTACACTTGAAGGTAGGCCTACATGTAACAAATCTCTTTAAATCTGTGACAGAAAACAGCTGATTTACAGTGAAAATATTTACACAATACGTACCCACAAAATTAAGGTTTTGTAGCATCTCATATGGGTCGCATTTAGCTACCTAAGTCAACTTTTAATGGCAGTGTGATGAATATTACGGCTAAAATGACTACATGTATGTAAAAATATATTCACGATCACATTCACAAACCATGATCAATAACACAAGGGACAACTTGCAGCTTTAATTTTATAGACGCTTTCGCCGTGGTAGTTGGTAATGGCAAGATCAAAATGCATTTAGTCCAGGCCAAGGCAGGTAAATAGACTCATGCAAAGACATATTTAGTGATAGTATGGTAGCTATCAATGTAGAAACTAGAAAGTATCTGAGAGAGTCTATGATATAGAAAACTACGAATCTGCAAAGTATATGTGCATGGCTCAGATCAAGGGTACACTTAGATTGAACACTGGGAAATCGTTCAATTATGCAAAACCACGAGACCCAGACACAAATTAGCAATTTTATATTAGAAAATACCATTAGGGGAAGCTCCAAACAAAGTTTCAGCTTCATTGAATTTGTATTAAAGATTTTAGAGCAATTTTATGATAAAAAAGGCCTATTTCAGCACTTTTAATGATACATTCAAAACATGCACTAATTGGTTACCCGATTTATACTAATGGGATGCAAAACTTATGATTTTTTTTTTAATCTTGATGTAGAATCTATGTAATAATTAACATTTCTGTTAAGTTAATTCATATTAATCTAATTTCTCATTCCATTTACATGTGATACAAATTTTGTGATATTTACATAACTTTGGTGTCCTGCAAATTTCAAACCTTACTAACTGAAGAATGGTGTATAAATATTTGATTTATTTACAAGCTTGCAATGTTATAATTTCGGAACTCAGACCCCTTTCCTGATCTTGTTATGAGTGATGGCTCTCTCAGTTGTTGTGCTTCTGTGCGTGACCTTGGTTTAAATATTGACAGCAATCTTACTTTCAAACAACACATTAGTAATATTTGTAAGTCTGCTTCCTTTGGTATATATAAGATCAGTAGAATCAGGAGGCTACTCCTGATACTAATGGGATGCAAAACTTATGATTTTTTTTTTAATCTTGATGTAGAATCTATGTAATAATTAACATTTCTGTTAAGTTAATTCATATTAATCTAATTTCTCATTCCATTTACATGTGATACAAATTTTGTGATATTTACATAACTTTGGTGTCCTGCAAATTTCAAACCTTACTAACTGAAGAATGGTGTATAAATATTTGATTTATTTACAAGCTTGCAATGTTATAATTTCGGAACTCAGACCCCTTTCCTGATCTTGTTATGAGTGATGGCTCTCTCAGTTGTTGTGCTTCTGTGCGTGACCTTGGTTTAAATATTGACAGCAATCTTACTTTCAAACAACACATTAGTAATATTTGTAAGTCTGCTTCCTTTGGTATATATAAGATCAGTAGAATCAGGAGGCTACTTGACCGACCCACAACTTCAAAATTAGTCCATGCTTTTGTCTCGACCCATATCGATTACTGTAATTCTTCTCTTTCTGGCCTCCCTCAGTCACATCTAGTCCCACTTCAAAGGGTACAGAATAGCGCTGCTCGGCTTGTGACTCTCTCGCGTAAATCAGAGCACATAACTCCAATATTGAACTCACTACATTGGCTTAAAATTCACCACCGCATATCCTTCAAAATTCTTCTCCTGTGCTACAAAGCTATCAATGGCTTAGCCCCCTCTTACCTTTCCGATCTCATATCCTTACGTTCCCGTACGTCGTCACGAACACTTCGTTCATCTTCCACATTACTGTTAACACCTGGACCCCGCACTAACACCCGGTATGGTGACCGCGCCTTTTCAGTTATTGCCCCCGCTCTCTGGAACAAACTGCCCGCCTTTATTCACTGCGCCCCCTCTGTATCTCAATTCAAATCTCTACTCAAAACCTATCTTTTCAAATTGTAAATTGCAGTTGTGCGTCGGTCAATGGAGGTGCGCACCATATTTGTCTTTATTTAGTTGATTGCCACTGTTTTTCTTACCTTATCTATGTTACTTTTGTA